GCGGGGACACAGCGGGGACACAGCGGGGACACGGCGGGGACCGAAACCGCTCGTTCCAAGGCGCTGGGACGGCCCTGCCCGGTTCCCTTCAGCCCCTCCCGGGCATCGAGGTCCTGGTGGGAAATCCTCCCCTCCTTCTCTCCCTCAGGTGGTTTTGAAAGGCGACGCCCCCAGGCTGATCGTGCACGGGGTGAGCGGGACCGGCCCGGGCTGGGGATGGAGCTGGGATTAACCGGGATAACCCTCGGGACACATCCCTGGGATTAACCGGGATAACCCTCGGGACACATCCCTGGGATTAACCGGGATAACCCTTGGGACACATCCCTGGGATTAATCGGGATAACCCTCGGGCACATCCCTGGGATTAACCGGGATAACCCTCGGGCACATCCCTGGGATTAATCGGGATAACCCTTGGGACACATCCCTGGGATTAACCGGGATAACCCTTGGGCACATTCCCTGTGCTCAGGATCAGGCCGGGACAGGCTGGGGATGTGATGTGGGGATGGCTGGGCTGGGATGGGGAGGGAATCCCTCTCCTGTGGGAAGTTTGGGAACCGTTTCCAACCGGGATTTCCCGAGCCGTTTCCAGCTGGGATTTCCCGAGCCGTTTCCAGCCGGGATTTCCCAAGCTGTGCCATTTCTGGCAGGTTCCCCACGTTCACAGCCGCCCTCAAGCTCTGTCTCACCTCCCACAGCAGGCCTGCGCCGTCTGCCTGGAGGATTTTCGGCTGCAGGAGGAGCTGGGGGTGCTGCCGTGCCAGCACGCCTTCCACAGAAAGTGAGTGTGGCTGGCAGAGCGGGCCGGGAGCGCGGAATTCCCAGCGGGAATGGCCATTCCCGTGTTCCTGCCCGCAGGTGCCTGCTGAAGTGGCTGGAGGTGCGCTGCGTGTGCCCCATGTGCAACAAACCCGCGGCGGAGCCCCGGGCCGGCATCGGGACCCTCCTGGATGAGCTGGTGTGATCCAGCGGGATCCAGCGGGATCCATTGTGATCCACCACGATCCAGTGGGATCCATGGCAATCCAGCGGGATCCAGTGGGATCCACGACAATCCAGCGGGATCCATCACGATCCAGTGGGATCCATCGTGGTCCTGCAGGCTTCACCACAATCCACCATGATCCAGTGGGATCCACTGCAATCCATCGAGATCCACCACGATTCAGTGGGATCCACTGCAATCCATTGAGATCCAGCAGGATCCAGTGGGATCCACTGCAATCCATCGAGATCCACCATGATCCAGTGGGATCCACTGCAATCCATTGGGATCCACCATGATCCAGTGGGATCCACTGCAATCCAGCGAGATCCAACGGGATCTACGGCGATCCAGTGGCATCCATAGCGATCCAGCGGGATCCAGTGGGACCCATGGCAATCCAGCAGCATCCATTGTGATCCAGCAGAATTCATCGTGATCCAGCAGGATCCATTGTGATCCAGCAGGATTCATCGTGATCCAGCAGGATCCCACGGGATCCCCCGGCCCCACTTTGCTCCAGGCTCTCTCTGGAGCTGAGCCCCTCAGGATCCCCTCAGGGCAGAGGGATTGCACGGCTTTGTGTGAAAAAAGGATTAAATGGATGATTTTTAGCCAGTCTGAGCTGTGGCTGCTGCAGGGGCGGCTCATGGGGGCACAGTAAAGCTCAGGGGGGCCCCATTAAAACCCAAGGGGACCCCAATAAAGCTCAGGGGGGCCCCAGTAAAACCCAAGGGGACCCCAATAAAGCTCAGGGGGGCCCCAGTGAAACCCAAAGGGACCCCAGTAAAACCCAGGGGGGCCCAGTAAAGCTCAGGGGGCCCCAATAAAGTCGAAGGGGGCCCAAATAAAGCCCAGGGGGAACCCAATAAAGCCCGGGGGGGGGCAAATAAAGCCTGGGGACATCAGTAAAGTCCAGGGAGCCCCCAAAAAAGTCCAGGGGGACCCAATAAAACCCAGGGGGACCCCAATAAAGTCCGGAGG